AGTAACACTGACTTTCAGCCCACCATTAGCACCTTTCGGATCAAAAATGAGGCTGGCAGGCTCGTCAATTTTGATAGAATGATCCACAGCTGCACCATAGACACCAGGTTGGGGTTGTTCGGATACAACTACAGTTTGAGGATATCCTAAAAAAATAAGAAATAAAATTATAACAGCTTTGTAAGAATCCATCAAACCAGGTTAGGAGTTCAAAAAGCAGCTTACCCGGTATTTGAAATCCGGCTACTTTCACGTTAACTTTATGTGGCCCAGTTTGATTTGGTAGGAATGTAATCCTGTCTTCACCACTGGGAGATTTCAGTGTTTCTACCTTCAGGGGCGTTCCTGTTGGATCGCATATTTCAACTGTGAGCTCCCCATCTCCGGCCTGTCGACGATCAACTAAAAATTTCGATAAAAATCTAGTTGCTTTTGAAAAAACAGCCTTGGGAAGAGATCAGGGGAACAAACAAAGCATCCACACATACCATCGATGGTGGTCACGTGGCGGAGATGAAGGCCATCGCTTAATCCCCGGACTTTCACCTTCTTTGGATCCACCACTTCACATCGGAAGGGTGAACCGGCTACAGGAACGTCACCAAAAGTCACTTCAATTGTGTGGGTTCCTAGAAATGAACCATTTATCCAGTACTCCTCACTCTTGCATGAATCTCAACTGGTTACCAGTTTGTTCTGGAGTGAATTCAACCCAATAGCTATCATCTTGTTGTCGATAACATCGTACCGGTAATGGTCCACCATTAGGATCTTAAAAATATGTAATAAAAATAAATAACGGGCAAATGGTGGGGATAGGACACACAACACAAAACACACAAGACAACATAACAACATGCACATAAAGAGGTCCAGATAGCCTGAAAAAGAAAAGGGAAGGATTACTATACTACTACATATCAAAGCAGTTGTTAAATGATGTTGTCATCACCTGATATCATCACGTCAAGCTCACCACGTGTCGCATTATTAAGCGACACCTCAAAACGAGCGATACGGCCACGCTGCGCGCGACGCAACGCGTCACCGCTCGCGCGAACCGCACCGGAGGAACTTATGTTGCACTCGTACGGGCACTCTAAACAGAAATAATCACTCAAGAAGTTCAACAATTAGTCACCTCTTCTAACTGCGTGTTAAGTTGCTCTAGCAATTGTTTGTATGTTTATTTTGCATNGGGATGAACCCGCCCACTGCTTCTCAATCGGAACCTCCTGACCAGTTTTTATCACTTCATAAGGAAAAACTTGATGCCAAAAAAGAAACCATGCGTTACTACAATCCCATTACTGCATCGGATTGTACCAGTTACTAAACTTCCAACTATTTAAAAGTGTCGTCTGATCAGGCTGTGGATTTCAGGCAGTGTAGTCCGATGCGATCCTGCCGTGGAGCATGTTTTCTGAGAGAACCTAGGCTTTCTACAAGAAACGGTAGGTGACCAAGTTTGGAAAGATTATTGATCGAAGACGTATAGAAGCCGGAGCAAATCGATTTTCAAGAAAATTCGAAGGAAATCAAATGAACACAAAGGCAAGAGACAGTCACGTACCTGGTAGAATCAATCCGTCAATATGAACATCGATCATGTACACACCGCTTACTGTCGGTGTAAATGTACACATCAACAGGCCAGGTTTAACTCGTTTTACAGCACATGGTACTGAATTTGAGCCACGTCGAATTTCTACAGAAGCCGACAATGCACCACTTTGAGTATAGTCCACTGAAACGGCACCAACACCCCAGTAACAACTTTTTTTGGCCAACAACTTTTTACTACTTAAGATTGGCCGCGTACCGTTAAAGTGCTGTTCCACTCCAACACAGTCATTTCTCAAACCTATCACTCTCACTGCTGATGGATCGAGAACTGGAACGTGAAACGGCGACCCGGCGATAGGCATACCGGCGACGGAGATTGCCAATTCGTGGCCCCCTTCGGTCTGAATATACGAGTTTTGTTAGACGGGACGGTTGAAACAGAAATAATTGAAGAAATTGTTTTGAAGGGGAATAAAATCGACGACGGTCAGCCATTGACCACCACAGGTTTAAAGGGATAGCCTTTGTTCACGCATAGCGATCAAGCTTGATCGGCTTCTAGAAGGGCAACGCCAAAAAAAAAGCGGCAGGAATCCGACGGCCGCCTTCTGTGGCCGATCCCCCTGCCTGTCACACTTCATGTCATTATAAATTCCATTCTCCCTGGGCGATATCCGTCCCAAAAGAGTCAGGAAGGAACGGACGATGTTTACTGTCTGGGGAAAACCTTCAGTTTGAGAGTAAAAAGTAATAATCACCTTTGGCATCCATGAAGCAGTCCAGAGTGCGTCAGAGATTTTACTCAGGGTTACCGCTTGAACGTTATGATCACGATCTAAAAATTACAGCTTTACAAATGAAAAGTAGTAGCCGAGTAACCAAATATGGGACAAAAGGATCACCTCTTACGGTGACGTCGACTTCGTCTTCGAGGCCGGATACGATAAGAATCTTATGTTCGGCACGTTCACTGACTACTTCTTTTTTCAGTTCAGACACAAGCTGTACGGCATTTACGGGATCAAGGACCCGTTGATGTATTCTGCTACCAACTGGACGTTCCGATACGAATGTATCAATCGTATGCGTACCGACCTGCAACACTCAAGAGGAATTTTCTAGGAATAAACCGGTTTTCTTACTTACAATTAGATAGCAGTAGCAGTAATATGAAAGAACACCAAATACTTCAAAATTTTGTCAAAAAGTTTTAATGATGAACTGGTGAAATGATCGGCTGATATCGAGCCACGTTAACAGGAATGTCAGGGCGACCGCCGGTGGTCAATTCGTATCGCATACTCCTTTAAGATTTGCCGTCAAGGACGACTATAACACCATAATATCATGAAATG